CCAAAGTCCCAATAGCCTTTCTGTTGCTCGACTTTCACCTCCAAATATGTTTATCCTCTACTAACGTACTTTTACCCAAGAATAAAAATCTATTAAGAGGTGCTCAAATGTTACCATGATATCAAAACATACACTCAAAGTCAGTTTAACCAACTGATACTGTGATTCATGTAAAAAACAAAAAGCTTCAGTATTTTAACAGATATCAAATCCTGGAATAAATGCTGTTATAATTTTAGGGTTCTATTTTAACAGTTAAAGGAGAGACATCTGGCAATAATCTACAAATAAATACAGTGTCTCCATTCTTAGTTTCTCCTCCAAAATACTACCTAGGAAATTTTTGCAGCATGATTCATATAATCAACATGATACATTACAATGCCTTTCAAATAATTCCGAATTCTTGGTTCATTCAATAAAGAACTCATTTTTGAAAGAGAAAAGGGAACATGCCCTGCCAGAAAACTTGCTTTACTGACTCAGCCCTGCTGCCAGCAGGAACATGGTGAAGCAAACTCCAGGATTTCAAAAGCATTTTTTCACAGCGAGGGCAGAAACAGAAAGAGGCTTATTTACCGAAATGTGAGATCCCGCAGGTGAGGCCAGAGACGGTTTGAAATCCTCTTCTTTTAGTTCCAAAAGTTCTAATTTATGATGAAATCTGTAATAATCCTTTCAAGCTGCCAGGTAGAACGCACGCCATATCTCAGCCGTGTTTTCTTTCGCCCCTTTGCAGAGTAACTTTGTTATTTGCATAAAGCTTAGTCCTGGCCTATGGGACTTTTTGAACATCTACATGTTAGATTAGCTGTCTTGACATGCTCTATCAAGCATGACATCATGGATCTCCATGGTAACCTTAGCCACACCTGCCCAGATGCCAGAGTTACCTGTCATGTTCAGATCTAAATGAACACAACAAAAAACCCTAAACCACCATTTTCTAGGCAATCACCCCTGCAAAGGCACTGGAAGGATTTGAGTTTTGTTTTTAATCGATTGAAATCTGATTTTGTTTGCCAAGAAAATTTCTTCTTCACGGAGCACTTGCCTAAAGCACTAGAGCTGCTCCTGACCCTTCCACACCTCCCAGCCTTTTTCCTAGTCAAACAAAAACTGAAAAAAGCTATGGCAAACTTCTTCCAGCTCACTTTCTTACCCCAGGCTCACAAGCTCCTGCTCAGAAAAACTTCTACGCATTCATTTTTGTTCTCTGCCCCTCAGAAAGGTTTTTTCAGAGGTGACTTGTAAAACAGGTTCACAGCAGGGATTACCCCCTCCCATTGCCAGGTTAGGATTTTAACCTCTTAATTGCTAACTCCTTTTCATGTCTGCAGCTACAGACCTAGTTTTTACACTTGTTCCTACTTTCCTTCTCTGCTGACTGGAGTCAACCTCATCTAAGCAGGTGACCATGTCCTTCCATGAGCTCCACAGCAGATGATTCACACTGTCTGAAACTGAAGACATCTCAGACTTTTTCTTTCTTGCTTTTTTTTTTTTCCTAACTTCCTTGGGGATTACATTAGCACCTTCCTTTCATTACCACAGGTGAGACAGTCTTGGCAGAGGCAATGTATTTAAAGCTCCTACAAAAACTTGCATTACCTAAAAAAAAAAAAATAAAAATTGTTCCTCAGCTTTACAGGCTTCCAGGTGGAGGCAGCTCTGGTGCCCAGCTGTGGATTTATCTTAGAAGGGGGAAAAGCTGCAATGTGAGGGTGAGCTGCTGGGCTGTGGGTCACAGAGAGGTGGCCATGGGGTGCTGAATTCTCCTGTGTTGGAGCACACAAGGCATGTCTGCCCCCCCTCAGGCCGCTGCCAAGTCATGCTCCAGTTTACACAGACCAGCTTAGCTGCAGGCTATTTGCCTGGCTGCAATATCTCAAGCCCCTTGTGCAAATAAAGATGGCCCCTGCCTCTCTGAGCTTTCCTTTCCAGAACAGGCTACCACAAACAAGGCAACAAACCTTCGGAGGAGAGATGGTCTGTGTGCACAGCTGGGAGGTTTGAGGTCATCACATTAGCTAACCATCAGTAATCCCTGCTGGCATTTTACCTGGCCATGATTGTACTTCTGATTTGTGGCAGATTATCAGGAGCAGAATTGGGTCCTCAGGAGGCACATCCAGGGAGGTATTTATCTGAATAAATGAAGCCTGGAGGAAACCATTAGCACATAGTGAAAGATGCAGACAACATTCAGCTGCCCTTGCTGGTGGAAGTGATACAGTAGGATGTGACAGCATATATAATATTTTTTCCCTGATGTTTATTTCCTGCAAACAAGGAGTCAGTTTGCCATATTTAGATAATGATGGCTAAAATGGACAAGAGAAGAATGTCCACAAAGAAGAAACCAGACAATTACCAATCTAGATTTTCTACTGGTTGTGGAGGTGACAGGGTTTAAAGCAACTTGGAGAAGAAATTATATATATATATACACACATATACACACCAGGGGCTACCTGACCGTAAATACAGGGGTATTTTATGTTTCAGCTGCACCATTTGACAGAGAGATTAGAAAATAGTGTTGCATTAACTACTATCCTTGATAGGCGTCCTACAGTGTGGAAATTCCCACCATGGACAATGTTGCCTCTTTCCAGATACTGGAGCAGCAGAAGAAATAAGAAGGGAAAAAAGGAACCTGGAAAATAAATTCTGACATTTTAATTTAAAATATGACATTTGAAATCATGTCTTCCCATACACCTTACAATTTTTTTTTTGTGATACATGTATATGTTGCATATGCATACCTACTACATGTGCATGTAGTTTGTCTTCTATACTATTGCTACACACACATATATAAGGGTAGAAAAAGCGAAGCATGGATGGTAGATATACATATACACCCTTCAAGGCAAAATTATTATTATAGTCTTATTCATGGAGTGGCTAAGAAATCACACATTATACATACACATACATGCACACACAGAGCTGTGTGTACATATATATTTATACACACATACCTATGTGTATCCATATACAGTTACATATAAACACACACAAACACCAAATACTGATATGTGGGTGTGCACACAGAGACACAATTGGTAAGAAAATCCCCCTCTGAACTGTAATGCTATGATCATCACAGTCTTACTGCATTTGATGAGCCAGACAGTTGATACATCACATGCCAACTAAGCAACTTTCTTACAATCAACTTCTATTATTTATTTCTGCATGTTTTCATGTGGTTTTAGTTCGGTTAATACTTCGGTAAAGTAAGGCTGAATGGCTGGAGTCTTCAGTATTTCCCACTTCTAAGAAATACATTTTGATGCTGTAATAGTAGTTTTAAAGTTATTTTGTTTTAAAAATTAAAATTGTTAAAAAACTCATTACACACAACGTATAATACATATGTCTAATCACCAAAAAGTAGAAGCAGGAGAATGAATTTTACCCTCAATAAATTAGCAAGGAAGACACATTTTAAACAAATATAAAGAGCAGTTACTGCATTCCTTCTGTAATTTACTGCCTTCAGAAAAGGCTCAAATTACAAAATGTGTAGGGTGTAATGCTGTAGGCTGTTCAAACTAGGTTTGCAGTGTCTGCAACACTGGAACTAAATATTTACATGACTCCAAAAGATCTAATCTCTGGATTTCGCCCCCCTCCCACCCCCTTTATTTAATTTGTATGCTATCTTTATCCACCACCCAGCACATTCCACACAGTCACTAAAGTTCATGGAAGAGATAAGTGGGGAAAAAAAAAGTCAAGACTTTAAAAAGAAAGGAGTAAAATTGTTTAAAAATGAGGAATAGATCATCCTCATTAGAGCTGTAGTCTTGCAGCAATTTTAGCTGGATACAGATGGTTTCTAACAGTGATAGCACCTGGGATCTCTAGAGACCCTGTAAAAGAGAAGTTCTAGGGGTGAGTTAACAAATTACAATCTTTCTAAACCTGTAACAGTCTGATCTTCAAAGTCTCACAAGTATGCAAAGCTTCAAATAAGCTTGGAATTCACTAAGAGCTTCCATAACAGAGTACAACATTTTTCCAACTCATTTTTATTCCTTATTTACACTTAATTTGCTGTTAGTGCTGAAACACCTATAAACCACTTAGGGAAATGAGCTCCTACAAAAAGGCTTGCTGCCAATCATTTGCTAAACCGAGAATAATGAGCACAAGATTTTTTAGACCAAATTCCAAATTCTGATGCTTGACTGAAAAAAAAATTAATTATGGAATAGACGACAGATTGCAGGAACAGATTTAACTCCATTATTGCACCCAAAACCAGAGCCCAGAGTTAGGCAGAGATCCTTGCACGGCAGTCCCTGAATGCCGAAGGTCGGCGTGCGGCAACCTCCACCTGCTCTGAGAAATACATCAGCGTGTCAGCTCCCCTCTGACCCTGCATGGACTGCTGGCTGCTGGGAAGCAGCTGCAGGCAGAGGCACACCACCCTCAGGTATGCTGCTGACAGACGAATGTGGGTGTCAAAGCTCCCTGGAGGAGGCAGACAGTTATGGGTAAGTCTGTTCTGTTTGCATTACAAAACTCAAAAATAGAAAAGAAACCAAATGAAAGGGTAACACAGCCAGCTAAAGCATACAGACACACTCTGCAGGTATTTTCTTTTCTCCCAGGCAGTGGTGCCAATACTCAAAGTGTAATAGAAGTCAGCAGCTGTTCCAGATTTTCCCTTCAGCTGTGAAAAGTAGACTGAGACTCATATACTAAGATCAAGAGTCTCACCTTCACTCCTTCACTGTGTATGCTCTAAAAAAAAGGAAAAGCTCTTCAGAAATGTCAATTTCAACAAACAATTCCAAGGTAATACTGAACAGATTTATTTTGTTTCTTTGAATTTCAAGGCAACATCTGAATCACAGGCCACATCCAAACATTTGTTTCATGCTTTGTTACATTCTCACCTTTTGTAATGAGGCAACACTGAGTTTTGTAGGAGTTACAAGGACCGTTAAACACACATGATAGAAATTTGACTTCCTTACCTGATCTCTTAGTCTCTCCTGGTGTCCCATTATTGCTGTGGCATGGTGGGGATATTTCTGTTTCAGATGCTCAAGAAAAGCCTCTCTCTTCCTGTCCATTTCTGAGGTTTGCATTCCCAGTATTTCTTTGGAACTGCGAGGGCCACCTACAGTGTGTCTCCGAGGGATGTTGCGGGTGGGCTTTGCGCTGGGAGAGGTGTGACTGCTCGGGGTGGAAAGCAGCTCTTTAGATCGGAGGCATTCTGCATCGTCCAGTGATGTCACATGCAAACTGGGTTTTGCCTGGTCTGCAAAGAAACAAAAACCAAAACCAAACATAGTTTGTATTACAAAAACTTAATACCTACATTCACATTGGTAGCAAAATGGGAAAAAAGACTGATATGAAAGCTAGGTACTTTTAAAAGTCTGGCAGTGTGCAATGGCATGTTCTGCATCATTAGGCATATATACATATCATAGTAAGTGGCCCAGAAATAATCCCTTATATAAGCTATGCACATACTTATCTACTTTTATCACACAATTGCAGTATTGCCTCACAGAAAAGTGAGTATCATTAAAGTGGATGTTCCTTTTATATCAACTTTACCTACGCGACTTGAAAAGAAGATCTGACAAGGCCCTTATTCCCTGACCTTTAAGATCTACAGGATGCTTTCTACAAGAAAAAACAGATTTCTTCAGTAGGGTCCAGTACACTTTATGGCCCCATAACTAGTATACTTAAGGATACAAACTGATAAAATTCCTTTGACAGAGCAGATTTGTAATCCTTAATTTTTTTTTCAGTGTGTTTTCAGCATGTTCTCAAACACCTAGGAAATAGTAAGAGGGTTTGGGAGTCTCTTTTTCCTGATTTTTGACTGTGGTCTGGTTTTAAATTTCATGGATCTCCCTCAGATTTCATATGTCTCAGGACATCAGGCTGGAAAATTCTACATGATTTTTCCATAAACCATTTCTTAAGAAAAAGAATAAAAGCAAGTTCTGTGGGATCTAAAAAAGGAAAAAAAAATCAGATAAATTTTACTACTTTAAAATCTACTTTAAGACCAAAGACCACAACAACATTTGTAAAGAGATAGGCAGACACTGTGGGTATGTAAATGCTGGCTTATCTTCAGGTAACTGTAACATGAACCCTCTGGTGCTCAAAAAATTGTAGACTGGAGCCTTGTTACCTAATACCTTTAAAAAAATCCCTCACTCCTTTGTCAGCAAAGGAAAAAAAAACCCCAAAAACTAACAAAAACCTGAAGTACTGAAAAGGCCTCTCCAAGTGTGATGTGGCCTTTCTCATCTTTACCAGACAGACTCAAACTCAGACACCCCTGAGTGTTAACCCTTGCCAGCACCTCCCCAGGAGCAGGGAGCTCCTTCTACTACCTGTTTTGAATAAATCTTTATCCCTCTCTGTCTGACACTTGTTGCCTCAGAGCCCCTTTTGCCCACGTGCAGCTGCCATTACACAGCACCACTGCTTGGAAACAGGCACCTACTTGCTTTTTTTTATGGTTCAGTCACTCATTCTGACACTGTGTGTGGTAGGCACACCGCTTGCCTCAGGACTTTATGCTGAGGATTTCTCAACTTTCTGGTGTGCACTGTCAATAGCCTGCCATGTGCCATGGAACCTCAAGCCCCAGTAATAAAGCAAATCCTCCAACGGTAGAGCCACTGCTGGATGTGCCACCAACCCACATAGGGAATCCATTTCCTTGGGTTCCATAACAGAACTTGGCCCTGGACAGTCCTCAAAGACTTTGCATGTTTCTGTAAACTTCCTATACTGTTCAAGGGCTCCAAAATGTTCCACAGTGCCCTCTTGTCTGCATTCATGGAAACCTGTCCTGAAAGCAGATGCAGGCACAGGGTTCCAGACTGCAGGTGATACCACGGTTTGACGAGCAGAGATCTGGAAACAACTTTGTGAGCAGGTTTGGTTCACAGGGAAATCTTACTCTAACACAGATTCAAAATGTCATCTGTGGTCTTCACATCAGCTTCTAAGACCTTCTTAGCAGCACAATCCTGGTTAAACCCCCAGAGCAGCAGCCTCACTTTCGTGTACAAACACGAATACACTCAACTTTTTCAAGCACAACTCAATTAAGAAACATCCATCCTCTCTGCTTGTTGAAAAGTCAAGAGCCACCAGGTACACAGAGCTTGCCTAAGAAAAATGGCAAACAGGAAAGTTTTGCTTGCAAGAAGCCAGTGTGGCTACTCCAGATATACTCAGTGAAAACAGCTTCTGAAAGCTGCACAGTCATTCCAATGGATTTTACATGGGAGGGAAACTAGGTGGGTTGGGGCTGGATGGAATTTACCACCTTTAATTTGTTGTGCCAAGAGCCTAGAGTTTATATCCCTCAGGCTGCTGGAGAAAAGGCACAGACATAAAATAAGGGATTTTCTTGGATCTGGAGGGAGTCAGCATGAGCTCAGGTGACTGAGTGCAGCTATTTGGTATAAGCCCTCAAAGTACGGTCACAACAGCAGTTTCAATGACTGAAGTGATGGCAGGCACTTCCTCAAGAAGGCAGGTAGGTAAACCTGTGCTGACAAGCACAACCCAGAACTCATAAGTGTGCATTTTGGGTCCTGAATCTCTCTCATGCAAAGTCTTTCCCTACTTTGCACTTCTGTCATTTCAGTAGTTTAAGAAAGAGCTAATTATTTGGCACATAAAGAGACATATCAAGCAAAGTGTTTTACCACTGTTTGTTATTAGGTGAAACCTTGAAAAGGAATCCAAAATAACATACTTTTCTTATACAGTATTAGAAAGACCAACAAATTCTCTTATTTTTCCTTCATATATTCAGAAAACACTGCATAAATACCAGTGAAAAGAAAGGAATGTAAACTATGCAAACTAATTCCTCATCTTGCCAGAAAGCTGACTTGGGCATCCAGCAAGATCCTGATCCTGCATCATTACAGCAAATTACTTTCTTTGCAAACTAAAATCTATTGTGTTTCAGTATGGGTCTTTTCTCTACTAACTGCTGAAAAAAAAAAGTTTTGGACCACTTTCTGGACAGGGATAAGTGACTTCATTGTCACTTGCCTAGGGCTGAGCACTGGGCTGTTGAAACTCCCCTGTGGATCTCGACACACATAAGTTGTACAGATGCTGTGTCTGCCACAGTGCTATAGGGAGGAAAAACAGAGAGATTTTCTGGATTTTGGAGTGCTCAATAACATAGCAGGTAAACCTTCTATATCTTCCAAGTGAAGATAATAGGCCTAGCAAATCAATCTCCACAGATAACTGTGAAATGTGTGAAACATCATGTGATGGTTCCCAGATGAGTGCTAAGAGTAGGAAAAAGATAAATTATGCACGTACCCTCCTAAGGAAAGGAGCAAAGAGAAGGCAGTAGAAAACACAGAGGTGTGAGATAAGCTTGTCTCCCTCTCTCCCTCCCTCATTTTCAGAAGCTAAAAGTTAAAGGTCTTTCTGTTCAATAAAGCAGCAAATCTAGAGGGCAACTAAAAGCAAGACTTGCTGATTGACAGGGAGGAATTTGGTTATCCAAAGGCATGAGTAACTCTTACATTTGATTTGCTTCTCTGATCTGAAAACAAGTTTCAAGATTTCTTAACATCACCAACATCCCCCATTACTCCAGTAAAGACCCAAGTCTGCAGTGTAGAGGGAGTATGTCTAGGATTAGCAGCAAGATTATCATGACAGATTAATGGCTGTGAGCTAGGAGAAAAAGAATAGAAAAATAAAAAAGTCCTTTGATTATGTCCTGGTATGTAATTCTTTTAAGTCACACCCTCCATGAAGTCTACAAAGGTCAGGAAAGTCACTTTGCTTCATTACTTTAAATGCTATGAAGATTTTAATAGTCCTGTTTTGCAAGCCAGGTGACATAAGAAAAGAACATTTTCAGAATAATTTCAGAAAGGAACAAGTGTAGACCTGACTCATACTGATACTGTGAAACTGAGCCTTGAAGCAAACCCCATTCAACACTAACATTTAAAAAAAAAAAATGGATTTAACAGCATGAGTCAAACCAACCTCTGTTACATTTATGTTAGCAGTAAATGTGATATTATTTGAAATTGTTCTAATTTACTTCACGGTCTTTACAATTAGCTCTCTTTCCAGTGCAAATTTTGGATAGGGGCCAAAACTACTGCATTTGGTTATGAGCTTTCAGCACTCAACATTTTTGGGAACCATAGAATCAGTCTGGCCAGCCCTCTGTTTTCCTAGCTCCACATGTATCTGAGGCAGTTTCATACAACCTCTACAGAAGAAATGTGTTACTGAAGGCAGTTTTTTTCCCTAGTCAGACACATTCTTGAAGTGAAGATTTCCGTCCCACTAAACATAAACATACACAGACAAAGGTTACTTGCAATGCTCGGTAATTTTACTTAAAAAATAATTCAAAAGAGCATAAATCAATTAATGAATACCCAATTAAAAAAAAAGAAAAAAGGAAGAGCATTTATTTTCCTCCTAAATCGCTAATACACTATTTGTTGGCATTCCATGCTCATAAACTAGTGTGATTTTTTTTAAACCACATGAACTATTTGTTTTACAGAAGCACAGTAACACAACTTTTCCTGAAGTGTCTTTGAGGAATACAACATGCAGGAAATGGGAATGTTCACAGGTGTCCCACAAACACTGTAATAGATACAGATTAGATTAGGTGTTTGTCAGGCTACCTGAATGTTATGTTTCACATGGAATGGCCCATGTAGAATTCTCCAGGAAATAGTTTTCGTTCACTTTTTAGGAAATAGATAGCGCAGCAGTGAATGTGTGAATGCACAGCGGCGGAGCCGCCGTGGAAACTCCGCTTAGACAGTCCTGGCTTCGCTCCAAAACAAACCCCAGTGGTTTCACTCAAAGTAAACTAACCCTGTCACAATCTGCCGTGGATCTCCCTCTTTCAACAGACACCCCGAGGTAAAGATGAGCTCAAACCCACTTTTAGGAAGGAAGTGCTATTTCTCTGCCATAGCTGAGGCTGGCAGAGCATTTAAAGGGAAGGGCACACGCTTTCCGCACCTCAGCGTCCGCACCGGCAGGATCCCGCATCCCTGACAGCCATGCAGCGTGCTCCCGGCTCCGCAGGGCACACAGAAATCTCTCCAAAGAGAAAGCTAAACTCACGAAGTTTCAGTGTTAGGGAAATGTGCACAGCAGAGCCATTAGTACAAGAAAAAAAAAAATTTTTCCATGCATTTTGCCTCCAGTTATATAAAGCAGCAACGAGGGACATGCTTAAACATAACTCCATCTTTG